AAGCATTATATATACAATTATATGAAACACAATTGAGTTCCTCGAGACACTTTTTGTCTTTGGCTGGACCTTGCGCCTTGCCTTACCTGTAGCCGGGTCTTGCTCCAGGTCATGCCTATGACCGGGTCTTGCAGTGGCCCTTGCCTTGCCTGCAGCCTGGCCTTGCACCGGACCTTGTCTTTGGCCGGGCCTTGTGCCTTGTGTTCCTTTGGCCGCGGCTTGCACCAGGCCATGCCTGCGAATAGGCTTGCACCGGCCCTTGCCTTGCCTTTGGCCGGCGGGCTTACCTGTGGCGTGTCTTGCTTTTGGCCGGGCCTTGCACCTTGCCTTGCCTGTGGCCAGGCCTATCTTTGGCCAGGTCTTGCGCCTTGCCTTGCTTGTGGCTGGGCCTTGCCTGTGGCCAGGTCTTGCCTTTTTCTGGGCCTTGCACTGGGCCATGACTTTGCTGGGCCTTGCCTTCCTGTGGCGGGTCTTGCGCCTTGCCTTGCCTTGCCTGTGGCCGGGTTTTGCGCCAGATCTTCCCTTGCCTGGCACCTTGCCCTACCTGTGGCCGGGCCCAGCCCATGGCCGGTCCCTGCCTGTATCCAGGCCCTGCCTTGGGGGTCATGCCCGAGGCTGAGACGCCTGTGGCCGGGCCTTGCGCCTTGCCTGTGGCCGTGCCTTGAGCCGGGCCTTGCATTGCCTGTGGTTGGGCCCTGCGCCTTGCTTGCCTTTTGCCAGGCCCTGTGCCTTGACTTGCCTTTCCTGGCGGGTCTTGGCTGTGGTCTGGACTTACCTGTGACCGGGCCTTGCCAGATGACCTGGGTGGGGACCAGAGCATGGGATGGGAGATGTGGCGCACAGGCAGGGTGGGAGTGACTCTGGCTGCTCCAGGCATAGCCAAGCTATTCCTTAGCTTCCTGCCCTCAAATCTGCAAATGGTGAGTTTTTCTTTCATTTTTTATTTTTTGAGATGGAGTCTCACTCTGTCTCCCAGGCCAAGTGCAGTGATGCAATCTCACCTCACTGCTACCTCTGCCTTTCATGTTCAAGCTATTCTCCTGCCTCAGCCTCCCATGTAGCTTCGATTACAGGTGCATACCACACGCCCGCTAATTTTTATTTTTGAGTAGAGACAGAATTTCATCATGTTAGCCAGGCTGGTCTCGAATCCTCACCTCAGATGATCCACCCACCTGTGCATCCCAAAGTGCTAGAATTACAGTTGTGAGCCACCACACCAGGCCCATGAAGGGTGGGTCTTTCTTGCCTGCTGAGCTAGACTGGCATGGGAGTATTGGGGCCTGCAGGGAATGCCCCACTTCTGGCTGCTCTGCCTCGATCCTAGAGTTCTGGCATGCCCCTGTGCCGCAAGGCCTGACACCCCACCCTGTTCGCCCCTGCTACCTAGTCTGCTGTTCAGGCTGCCATCACACCTCTCTGCCCTGTGTGTCACTCAGGAACTCACACCTCTGTCCAATCTGCCATCTTCCTGATGAGATCCCAGAGGAGGCCTGAGAGTGGAGAAGGTCTGCTGCATCCACAACCTAAGGTGCGTGATCACCTGTGCGAGGAGGAGGAGGTGCTCTGAAAGGCCGACGTGTTGCTTCCCTGGGGAGCCAGGACACTGCTGAGCTCTAACTGCTCCCTGGGCTCCCCAAGGTTGGGACAGCATGGAGCAGTGGGGTGGAGGGGCTAGAGGCACCTGGTCATTCTGGCTGCATCCCGTGTACAGCTTTTCTGTAGTTTTGGCAATGAGCTCCTGGAGAAAAAGAAAAGACCAGGGTCATAGTCTATACGTCCAGAGGGGTCAACCCAGACAGGACAGAGTTCATCACCCCGGTTCTTGCCCAAATCTCTTGCCATTTCTGCTGAGACCTTTTTAAATTTTTTGTAGTTATGGAACCTTGTTATGTTGCCCAGACTGGTCTCAAACTCCTGGCCTCAAGTAATCCTCTCATCTCAGCCTCCCAAAGTGCTAGGATTACAGGTGTCAAAGTGCTGGAATTACAAGTGTGAGCCACTGTGCCAGGCCCACTTTTTCCTTTTCCTTTTTTTTTTTTTTTTTTGAGAGAGAGTCTTGGTCAGAAGCCCAGGCTGGAATGCAGTGGCACAATCTTGGCTCACTGCAACCTCTGTCTCCTGGGTTTAAGTGATTCTCCTGCCTCAGCCTCCCAAGTAGCTGGGACTACAAGCATGTGCCACCACACCTGGATAATTTTGTATTTTTAGTAGAGACAGGGTTTCACCATATTGGCCAGGCTGGTCTCGAACTCCTGACCTCGTGATCTGCCTGCCTCAGCCTCCCAAAGTGCTGAGACTACACACAAGAGCCACCATGCCTGGTCCCATTTTTTCAAATGAGAGTTTGTTACTTTTCACTTTCAAATGAGAATAGTTACTTGTCCAGATGAGTCAGAATGAGGAACTGGGGTGTGCCCAGACCTACTCTAGTGTCTCTATCGCACCCATCCCTTGAATCATCCCATGACTGAGTGCCCATTCTAAAATGTACACGCTCCTCTCTTTTGGTCTAGTGAGTAGGCTCCACCAACCAGGAACATGATTCTGGATTCTAGGTTTAAAAGTGACTGTAGGGCCAGATGCGGTAGCTGATGCCTATAATCTCAGCGTTCTGGAAGACCAAGGCAGGCACATCACCTGAAGTCAGGAGTTCAAGACCAGCCTGGCTAACATGGTGAAACTTCATTGTGCTAGTAAAAACTATAAAAATTAAGCCAGGCATGGTTGCATGTGCCTGTAAT